CTCTCTCTCTCTCTCTCTCTCTATATGCTTATATAATATAATATATTAGGTCAATTTAAATGGAAAAGTCCTCTACCATTTTCTATATAATCACGTAAATGTTTAGTTATTAATCAGAGAAAATGGTGTATAGTTGTGCACGATAATACACCAATTTTTTTTTATTAATAACTAAACATTTATGTAGTCATTGGAAAAATAGTAGAATTTTTTATTTATTAGTTTGTTCTATACAAGAGCATATAGCTCTTGTATGTCGTTATCTTAGCTCATCTATAGCGCGTGATCATTCACGAATTTTTCTTGATTAATAACTCAAAATTTGACCTGATTATTCGCAATAATAAAGGAATTGTTTGTTCAGTTTGATTTAACCTATCTGTACACTACGGTTCCTCCGTGAGTTACCCTGTATTTACTTATATATTAATGCACATATTTTTACACTAAAAAATAATCTTTTCTCAAATGAGAAAACGCACATTCTCTAAATAATTTTCTAAGATAGTTTTTTATACAAAAACTTATTTGTCTTATAGCTTTGTTTATTTTATAGCTTTTAATCTGAGTTCTTCACTTACAATCGTAATTTTATTCATTTGGGAAATTGGAATTAATGCCAATTAGATCCTAAAAAATATTCCATAAGGATTATAATAAGAATGGCATTCCCAATTGGCAATACACCTATTTAGGGCAAGTTTTTGGGTAATCTTTTACTTTAAAGTTATTTATTCTATTTAAATAATAGAATATAATTTCAACTAAATAATGTGTCATTAGTATCCACCGAATCTTTCACTTCTCACCTATATTTTTCTTAGTGTACTTATTCGCTCGCGTTACTCTTTTATTTTTTTTTCCTTTGGCATTTCCCTCACATTTTCATCTCTAACACTATGCAATCACCCATAGACGTCGCGAGACCAAAGGCGGAGATGTGGCGGCCGGAGGATCTGGCGACGGTTGGCGAGCTGCTCCTCGACATCACCACAAATCTCGCGCAAACGTAAGTCACGTGATCACCACCCCTATTCCGGTTCAAATCTCGCGCGAGATCTCACTCTTTTCCCGAGATCCGATCGCGATCAACGTTATTCGCTATTTCGCTAATTGTCCGTTGACCTGCATCCAGATATGGACTGACCTATGAGGAAATCGAGAAAAGTCTTCCACTGATCGACACCTCGAAGACGTTCATTCGCGAAGTCTGCCCCGCTTTCCTCAGCAACGTGGAGTGCCGGCCGGGGAAGTACCGGCGCTACGATGGTCTCTGCACGAATCTGCAGAATCCAACTTGGGGAGCCTCTCTGTCGCCTTTCGCAAGGTAACGTCTTCTCTCACCATTCTTCGGACGGTTATTCGGCGAAAGTGAATGCAACGCGTTCTGATAGTTTCTAAGGTTGCTCTCTACATTTCCGCATAGAAAATTTCTTGAGACCTAATTGAAATTTTCAGTCCGATTCCCCAAAATAACTATAAACTTTAGTTAAACACACACAAAAAAATATAATTTCATCTTTAACAAAATATTTTTACATTAGCCTCTCTCAGGAGGATTCTTCTAAAATTAAACAAATATTCTAACAACTAAAAAAAGAACTTTATTTGCAAGATACTATTGACTGTAATCTCATATTCTAAGCGAAAACTTTTGCCGAAAGAGTAATTCCTCTCCTAATGAAGAGGATATTATAAATAGAATATTTTTCTTTTGATTTTAGAGGAATCTTCTTAAGGATAAAGACGATATTATGGACGTTAATGTTTCAAGCATGATTCTAAGTAAGAGAAACCCAAAGTTCAAAAACATTGCAATATTTTTCTGATTTTCTACATACTACACATTTCTATATGTTATAGAAATGAACAAAACGTACGTTCATTTTCCAAATAATTGCATCACTCAGTAGAAAATAGAGTGTTTTAGAAATATTTAATTTTCTTATTTTTTGTTCTATTGAAAGAATACAGTTGGTATAAAAATGGAATACTCTATTTGATACACAAAAATATACTGATGTTATCAACTGAAAAAAGCACGAGATCTCTTAGCATTTCGATTCTAAATAGAGAATTTATGTTTAGGGCAAGAATAGGACTCGCAATTAGTATCATAGTGGAGTAATTAATTCTGGGACAAACTTGGGCATTCTAATCAGCATTTGTGCTGTACCTGGAAAAATCTTGGGAAACTTTTATACGGATTGTTCTTATAGATTGATGAGCCCCCAATTCGCGGACGGCCTAACGGCGCCGAGGATATCCATAACAGGTCATAACCTACCGCTGTCGCGAATCGTGTCGCGCACCATGCATCCTGACGAAGGTTACCACGACCACGCCGGCACGGTGATGGTAATCGCATGGGGGCAGTTCATGGACCACGATTACACTCTGACCGCGACGCCTTTAGGTATGTACTTTGCATCCTATCCTGGGGATAGCCTGCAATACGACGTTGTCGTGATTACGCTACGCAATTGATCTTGAAGAAAGCTACGACAGACGGACGGTGGCGAGTCATACATTAGCACGATTAAAGTCGGAGCGATCATTTGATCGCGCGGGTAGAAATTAGAAAGCGCGCCTTGAGCGTCGGGAGCGGATTGCCCAAGCTGCTCAAGTCGAATAAACTATATCGAGATATTTGATACGCGCTCGCTCGCTCGCTCACTCATTCACTCGCTCGTTCGCGCATCGTAGATCGCTCGGCCCTTCCATCCGAGATCTGAACGTTTACCGTATATATCGAAAGGAGGGTAACTACGAGAGAAAGCGAGCGATCGCCCGGCCGGATAACCAATCACGTGTCCGTCTGTGACGTTTTCGAGCACTTCGGTTTCGAGATCACTCGCTCACGAATGTGTCAACCAGAATTGGCGAGCTGCAAAACTCGAGCGCCGCTCGAAATACGACTGCGACATTCGCCAATTATTGGACGGTTCTCGGAAGAAGGAATAATTTAGAGTGCAATTCCATTGATGCCCGCCGGCGATCCCACGCGTGCGACCCTAGCCCGGGTTCAGGTAGAGATAATGGCCGTTATTTGAAACTCGTTTCAAGTGAGATCCTTAGATTTAATTCAGAATTAGATGAGAATTCTTTTCAGTTAAAACGCGATTATAAATATAAATGCCACATATACTACATTATATCATTATACCATTATACGATTATATCATACAATTCGACTGAAAAACTTAGATCTAACTCTAAAATTTAAGTATCTCATATGTGAGGCAAGTTTTAGGTGACAATTATTGATACAAGCCTAAGACCTATATTAATGGTCGTTAAAATTTCGAAGTTACTCTCAGATAAAATACTCCCTTGGTAGAGCACAAAACATCCCAGAATCGTCCTGCATATATTCAGAATATCCTGAGGATTTAGAATGTTCAGAGTATACCTAGAATAATCTCGGAACATTCGGTGCTAGTTTAAATGTGAATTTAGAGTTAGATATGAGGTTTTCAGCTAAATCGCGATTACAAATACAGAGTGTTTCATAAGAGAACAACGTTTGCAGTTCTCGTGGAGACATAATATGGATTGAGGTGAATATAAAAGTCTTATACCGTTTTATAATATTCGTAATAATAAGCGCAATATTAATTAAAGAAAATTTGTGAACGATATGGTAGATGAGATAACGCGAGATATGGTAGATGAGCTAATACTTATACATTAGGTCAAATTGAACTAAAAAGTTTTATACTTTTTTTCTAAGAACTTTGTAGATTTTTAGTTATTATTTTGTTAGTTATTATTTATTATTTTGTTAATAATTATTTTATTGTTGATTTTTAGTTAATATTTTTAAAAAAACTTATTGGAGCGCGCACCACTTTATCTGATCATTCGTCCCTGCTTTAATGGAAAAAACTATTTGTTTGATTTATTTATTCAGCTTAACCCTAGAACTATTAAAAAGGAAGTCAGAACTCTTAATAGTTCATGAATTTTCACAAGATAATACGCTAACGTTAAACATATGATGCAAACTGGTCAAAGGTTGCGTTGGAGCTCTTATTGTTGTTTTAAAATCTCGAAAGACAAGTGAAATTTATGTTTCAACGTCTTTCTATATCTAGGGGACGACAGCCGAAAGTTTCTGACTGCTTATACGCTCGAATACTTCGAGAATTGCATTATATCCGTGCAACGTTCCATGCAAGTGATTATAACTTTATAATTTTAAATTATAAAGGGAAGTATTCCTTTAATTGAAATGTTATTAGTTAAAATAAAGTTTCCTGTAATTTTATGATACACTGTTTCAAATAATAAAAGCAATTTTCATTCATAAAATTATTAAAATCAAACATATAAATGGACGAGGTAAAATTGACCACTATTTAAGGATCGGTAGGTCTGTGGAGACCTCTCGCGAAGATCTTGGAACTACTAATCAGAATACATATTTTATATGTAGCCCACTGAAATATATATTACCTAGAACGCGCGCTGCCTCTTGAGGCGTGCGGGATGAGAGAGAGGTTCCTTGTTTCCTCTCTTATCCTTGTCTAGTTCACAGTATAGCCGAGAATGGGGAGAATGTGATACAATCCAAATTAGAAGTTAGAGATAATGAAAAGCAATGACCACTGAATGACCAGTGACTTAAACTTATGAACGAAAGTTTAAGATATAATAAAATATATATTTTTTTCTCATTTATTAGTATTCACTTATTGACTTATTAGGAAACTTATTAAGAAAAACAAAGCAAAGATGGTTCCTATTTCGAAGATTCAGCTTATGTTTAGAAATCAGCCGATTTAGCTTTTGGTTCAGACTGTACTAGACAAAGACAGAGCACTATTCGAGACCTACAAGCATGCTCTCTCTCATCCCGCAACACTCAAAAAATAGCGCGCGTTCGAGGTAGTACATATTTCAATGATGTAGCCTTCTTCGCTTAAATTATTAGTCAATCGATATTAAAGCATGATAGTCACGTTGTATGTTCGTATTTCGAATGTTATAAAAATTTCACGTATTATAAAAAATATACAGTTTACAGGGTCGCTTCGGATATAAAGTATAGAAGAAAATTGTCTCTATCATGTTTGTACAGTCAATTATAACAATTAATTATCTAGAAAATTGTAACTTCAAAATTCTGAAAAATGTACCATCTGATCCCAGTTTAATTTTGAAAAATCTATTATCTAGTCCTACAAATACATAATACTATATTATACTATACATAACATTATATGATCTCATACATGATATATATATATATATATATATATATATATATATATATATATATATATATATATATATATATATATATATATATATATATATATATATATATATATATATATATATATATATATATATATATATATATATATATATATATATATATATATATATATATATATATATATATATATAAGGAGATATATGATTTATACAGGGTGAGTCATTTTAGTCTATGGATCCGAATATCTTCCAAATTACGGTATCTACAAAAAAATGGTTTAGATAAAAGTTGACCAGGACAGA